GCGTATGGTGCGACACCAAGATATGGTTTAATGCTCTTATAATACAACAATTTAGTTTCAATTTCAATGACTAACATGTATACGTGCAGCCCATCAATAGCATCTGATTCGCTCTTCCTCGCCAACTTCTATCTATTCTATTCACATTTCTCCCGTTCTCTAACCTGCCTCTGAACCGAATGATGAAGTTTTGTATCAAACTCCTTCCACTTTGGTGGATGTCACGCCCACCAATGGCAGTTACCTGCTTCCCTTTACCAACATCTATCCACTCCTCCCGGTCTCCGGCACTTCCTAGAACCGAGTTGTAGGTTTGTAGCAAACTCCGCGCACTTTGTCCTCGTTGCGCCTAGGATTAACATTTCACCTAATTTCCTTCCATGACATTTCTCAAATTTTGCAACCAGTGGTCCATGTATCCAAACTTATTAACAGGAAGTGTGCTGCGAATTCTTGGTAAAGGAATTGGGTCCATCGAATTGCTTGGGAATTCGAAAGTTGGCCGATGTTTATGTATGTCCAGAGCTTCTTCGCTGCGCTGACAAGTATATCTTGCACAACTTTCAGGTTATTTCCTTCTTATTTGAGCTGAAATTCGAAAGATTTTTCAGTTCACTATTTTCAGGACGTTGTCTGTACTGAGGAGTTTTATCAACTCCCTGTCGACCGTTTAATCGAATTAATTTCAAACGAGGAGCTCCATGGATCAGAAGAGCAGGTATATAGCAGAATCTTTGTAGATGAGCTCACGTTCCCGTTTTGAGTACTTTTTGCGTTTTCGATGAACCATCGATAAAAATTGGTCCAGGTTTTCGCAGCAGTGCTCCAGTGGATTAAGTTCGACATGGCAACTCGGCAACAGTTTCTCGCAAAGGTAGCTGTTCTGTCTTTCTTGCGTGTACTGGCTCGTGAATACAATGTCTTGCAGTTGTTGGAGCATGTTCGGTTTTCGCTCTGTAACCCAAAATTTCTTGTCGACACAATAAGCAAGGATGAGTTAGTGATGACTGATTCTGCTTGTCGACATTTTGTCGATGAAGCAAAGGTTGGTGACGTTTTCAAAAAGGCTGTTCTCATTCATTATAGTTGAATTACCTATTGATTAAGGACTACTTACTTCTACAGTCATTCGCACATGAGCAGTCGAATGAGCAAAGACCACGTATGCGACCGCGGAAGCGTCCTTTGTGTAACAAAGTATTATATGCTGGTAGGGTGGAATGTTACTGTTTTTATTTTCTCGTTATTTTTTCCTTTCACACTAAGGTTTGCGATCTGTGGTACGAAGGGAAGATATGAAGGGTCACGTGCAAAACGCTGAGAAGGGCATTTGATCGAGAGAAAGTTCTTTTGTAGAATTGCAATTTAAGGTGTGGAATCGAAGGACAGGCCTAAGTAAATGCCCTGACATAGAACGCGTTTAAGGGTGGAAACGGCCGGGTTTGGGCTTTTTGCAGTGCTCTTTGTGTTGTCTCCAGGCTATGAACATGAAGCGCGCGTTTGCTTACCTTATTGTGAGTCAGGCTTGGCTAATCTTTTGATTCACCTCATTTGTGATGTCTGATAAGTCATATGCAGGAGAGGGGACCGAAAAAGCCATTTCATGGTTAACTTCTGGGTAGCCTGTAAAGGCAGTAATTCTGACTAAGGACCCTTTCCCACAAGCGTTTCAGATGACGTTGAAGTCAAGAAACCCGTTGTGCTGGTCCTGTCATGTATCCGTGGGAAAATCGTCTGATGTCGTCCGTGTGGACAACTAGCGACGGCTGTGAGGTTTCCTTGATAGGAAGAAAATACTCTTGAGTTTTCTGCGGATATGATTCGGTTTGAATCGAGCAGAGTGTAATTAATTCTCTTTCAAATGTGAAGAGAAAATAGACCTTTTCTTGACCCCCCTGCATATAGTTC